AAAAAATTTCCTATCAGGCTCTGGCTATCAGTTTCCAATTTGGCCAACTTCTGGACACAGAGCTACTTAAAAAAAAAATCCTTTTGAATATCTTGTCAGATTTCAGCTGGGACAAACAGTAAACATTCCCAGCAATACAGAACAATCCCATGAACACAAGAGACATCCCCAAAGAGGATGCAAGAGATACTCCCCGCCCAAGAGCCAGAGCCATTTGCAAAGGTAACCAAAAGAAAGAAAGACTTAGACAATTCCCCTGAGGGCTGGCAACAGTCGGTAGGACCCCAGCCACAAATGGAGTATAATCCACATTTCTGTCCAGCCATATTTTGGGGGCCCCCAATCTAACGGTTGCCAAAGCAAGTTCTCAGAACACAAAGCGAGATAAACCAGCTGGCAATATCTGTCCCTGGGAGAGAAAGGATGGACAATCAATGAGTACCCAAAAGCAAATTCGTGAGTCACAATTCGAAGATCTAATTCTTACAAAGATTTTGTTGCTGCCAATCTGAATTTGGAAAGGAAGGGACAACATGAAATTTTACCTTCCTTTCTCGACCAGAGGGCACAGATAGAGATCTGGGAGAGGTGACTTTGGTAAGAATTCTTACCCTTCACCAGCTTCTGCCAGTTTTCCCAGATCCCATCCGCAGGCTCTGGAGTGAGTGGGTGTCCCAGCAGGTCTCACCCCAGCACCAGAAACTATAGAGGAGGAAATATCATTTTCTGGACCCTTTCGCATGAGTGCATGGCTGAGCCCCCTTTTCCTCTAGGGCACCTCATAAATGGAGAAGCTTATCTAGGTTAAAAGTTCTCCACTGCGGTTACTGTCATTCGAGATTATGTTTGTTAAGTCAACCTGCTTGTTCAGCCTTAAAACAAAATTTTATTCACCTGAGGCCTCACACCAGACACAGTCTAGCTAAGTCAGACTCAGTCTGACCCTGGAACCAGTCCGGTTTTTTGGGTTTTTTTTTTTGAGGAAGGTCGGCCCTGAGCTAACATCTGCCAATCCTCCTCTCTTTTTGCTGAGGAAGACTGGCCCTGAGCTAACATATTTGCCCATCTTCCCCTACTTTATATGTGGGACACCTACCACAGCATGGCTTGCCAAGCAGTGCCGTGTCTGCACCCAGGATCTGAACCGGCGAACCCTGGGCCACTGAGAAGCAAAACGTGTGCACTTAAGTGCTGCACCACCAGGCTGGCCCCAGAACCAGTCTGGTTTTGAAGTCAGACCCAGTCCAACTGTGGCCAGTTTCTGGACCCGGTCTTGAAAAAGAACTACTCAGAGTCTGAAAGCTCATGATGCAAAAGCTGAGGAGCTAGACTCTAAGAGGGACTAACTCACCATTTCCAGAGACAGCAAGAAAGCAGCGAGCTCAAGGGGCTCACAGGTGCCTATGCCTGGGGGCTCATTGCTCCTGGGGGTCTTCAGGGGTCTCCTTTGGTTCCCTCTTCTGACACCAAAACTGTTAAAAGATAAACTGAGGCATATTAAAAATCTTAAAAGTTTGAGCAAAAATCCATTCGCTTTGGACAGCATCCAACTTAGCAGATACAAAGGAGCTCTGAGACGTCGTACAAAAGACCTTTATAGGCAAGAGGGAGCAGGAATAAGGAAATTATACTAGACAAAAAAGAGGGGTGGTTATTGCAAGTTTACTTTCCTTTAGGGATGGCAGGGGTCTGTCAGGCAGATGACCTAACTAGTGCTGATCAGGCAATTCTCAATTGACTGTTTTAAGATTTCATTTTGGGGAAAGCTGAAACTGTAATTAAGATAAGTCTTGGTTTGGTGACATGGGGCTTAGCACAAGTGACTCCATTTTGGGCCTATAGTCTTTGTTCTTAACAGCAGTTAGCCACAAAGTGCTAAAATATTACATGTTTTCCTTTCATATGGTGATAATGACATTCTCTGATCATCATAAACTGTGTACGTATTCCATGTCCCCTATAGATTGGCAATTCCCTAATGGAAGAATCCATCCCAGCTTTATGAACTCCACTGCCTAGCACAGAACCTGGTGTGTCAAGTAGAGAACTTCAACAGTCACTCACATAACAGGCTGCTTAGTTGTTGTTCCTTATGAAATTGTATCTTATGAAATGGAGCACATCTTGTATATCCAATCAGACACACACAAAGATACATATAATGGATTAGCAATATAAATAATTTTTCCGAAGCCCTCCCATTTTTTGGTTCTAAACTGTGAGAACCTAAGCAAATAATGTGTTTCTGTCTTCTCAAGCAAAACAATCTTCTTCCTTGTAGTTGGGGAGGATCCTAGGAAAAGACTCTTGGGGAAAGCTGACCTGCTTACATGTTTTGTGCCTTTCCTTTTTCTTTCCCACTTCTGGCTCCTGAAATGGTTCTGCTCTGATGGGTGACATGACGCCATCACATTGGAGGTGTGTTGTACCCCAGCAGGGCCCGGGACAGATGGAGGGGTGTGCATGGATGTTCCCTGCCCCTCTTCTACTCCTGTTGAACTTCAGAGGCTGACGCTCCACTTTGGAAACTGGATTTGGGTGATAGTTACTCGGCATGCTGCCCGATGGGGGCGAGGATTCAGAGTGACAAGGCTTAAAGCACCTTGGCTAGGACCCCCAGGACAATGTTGCAGGGACTGCTGGAGATGGCGGAGGACCACAGGGAAAAATGGGCAGCTATCCAGAATGAATAAATCTGATCAGGTCACTTGTTGGCCTAAAATCCTTCCAAGCTATTGGTGCTCTGGGTTTAAAGCCCAAACTCCTTGCCATGGCTCCCAGGCTCTCCCATGGCCTGACTAGCTACCTCTTCAGCCATGTCTGAGATGCCCCTCCTTCACTCACATTGCTCCAGCCATACTGGCCTTTGGTAGTTTCTGTTTTACAGTTTCCTCAGCCATGACTGGCTCTCCTGCCTGAGGGGTTTTGTGCAAATATTTCCTTCCGTGTGTAACGGTTTTCTTCCCCAGCCGTCACCCAGCCAATTCCAACATGTTCTCCCTTGACCCCTCAGACTTTGTTAGTGCCCCCGTTCTACAGCCTCTACTACCCTTTACTTGTCCTTTCTCAAAACTCATCACCCTTTCAACAGCTTGTCCACTGTATCTTCTTCACCAGAACATAAGCTCCTTGAGGGCAGGCACCAAGCCTTCTCTTTCATCCAGGAACCACCATGTTGATCCCCTTGCTGGATGGACTCCAGACTCTTGAGAAATGTCTGCTAGGCGAATACATGTCTCAAGCCCTTTAAAGATAATTCTCTGAGCCGACTGGGTGGTACTACCAGAAACACGAGAACCGAATGGGCTCTTCCTGCTTGTCTCTCCCAAATCCAGCTGGGAAGCAGGAGGTGTGAAGGGCAGGCATTAGAGATGGGGATTCTGGGTGAGGAATCTCAGCCAGGGAGCCGGGCCAGGACTCTCACTGTGAAATAGGAACATTTTCAAGGAAGTGACCCTGGGCTGGAACACCTCAGTTCCAAGGTGGTCATTAACTTTGAATTGTTATGCGGGGTGAATAATTCGCCTGTGGAAAAAATTGAGCACTGACAGTCTTGCTACTTTTGTCATTAAAATCCTGAAATCCTGACTAATCTCAGCTGGACTCAGTTCAGACTGCGCCATTTCCGTAACATTAAAATATCACCCGCAGCCACACTAGCGAGGCCACCCCTTAACAAAGAAGGGACCTTAATACTTTCAAGGAAGGATCAGTGGGAACTGGAGGAATCCAGAACCCCCAAAAATGAGGACTTGGGAAATAATTTGGCTTGAATTCAATTATTCAATAATTATTACATTATTCTTTAAGGTACTCAGATTAACCCTCTATATCTAGATGGGTTTAGCCTCTGGGCGTGTCAGCGGGTCCATCTTCTGTAAATCACTCAGTCACTCATTTTAGTGCCTACTACCTGCCACCCTGATGGGCAGTAAGCAAAGGGAAATCACTGTTTCTATCCACAAAGATGTTAGTGTCTATCCGGAGAGACAGACATGGGAAAAAGAAGCAAAACAAAGTACTAGAGGAATGACAAGATATCTACAACTTTCAAATTCCAAATGCTACATCCAGCCCCTGCAGAAGGGCTGGCCCTGAGAAATCAGCGCGGCCTCGACAGCACGAGCTCTCTATTTTTTGCACCTCTGGCATCTACGTCAGCTCCTCCGTGGCTCTCGGTTTCCCGCAGAGCCTCCTGTTTCAGCACTATGTAGGACCAACTGTCTTCTCCAAATGAGCAAGTGGAAATGTCAGAGTCATAACTCTACTAATCATAGCAAACTATGGGACTTTTTTTCTAACTGCCTAACTAAAAACTCAGTGTGCTTCGTATTCTCAGAGTTCTTAGCAAATTATCAAACACTGTTTAAAGATCTAGTTTGCATGACACCATTCGTGTTGATTCTCTGCTCAAAGACTCTAATGTTAGTGCTTTTGTTCAATGACCCTCTATGTAAAATTTCAGATTGATCTCCGTAACATGGGAAATTTAGGTTTAGTTTATCTAAAATTAAATTCCAGCTACATAATGACATTTCAAGGATAAATTTATGAGGCGTTTGCTTATTTGCATAATTCTATCGATGTAACCACAAGAGTGGGGCAGGGATGGACACATGGGTTAGAGGGAATCATGGGATGGTGCGGCATCTACTGGAGAGGAATGCCGTCTTCTTTTTTTTTTCTCTTTTTCTTTTATTGGCGTGAACCAGGGAAGATGCAGGCCTACCTTTTGCTGTTAGCAGCAACCCTGCCACCAACACAACCCAACAACAAAGATAACTTGAAGAAAAAGAGAGCTGAATTCTAACGTCAGTTTGAGCACCTATATCAACCCCTACCTGAGGCCACTCTATACCTGGCCTTGCATGGAAGTGAGCCCCAAATTCTTTTTATGTTCAAGTCCATGAGTTAGGTTGGATGTGACTTGTAAACCAAAGAGACTGATTCATTCTCACAAAAGGAACAAGGTAGGAGGGAAGCAGCACACAAGACAAGCATAAGTCATTCTGTATTTATTTGCTATTCAACACACTTTCCTTCGCAGAGAGAAAACACATAGTCTGAGTTATCCCATTAACAAATACCCTGCTTCTATCATTACATCCTGAATTTCTGTGCCCACTAATCAAGGTTGGGTACCATCACACAGGTGATTAAAATTGTTCCCTGAGATCATCAAGGCTGTGGCTTTGGCCACAGAATATCTTGCCCTGCAAAAATCCAGGAGAAAACAGAGGAAACTAGAATTCTTTTGGTGGTAGAAGAGGTAGACAACTTAGGTAGAATTCCTGAGAAAAAGGTGCAGTCAACCAAGCCACGAATTAATATTTCCCTGGCTGTGAACTATTGTCCCTTCCCCATCTCCAAACATTCTAGAAGGCAAACTCATCTTACTGCATATAGACACTTCATCACAATGCTGTGCTCAAAGCATCCTGGCTTTGGATAACTGCCTGAGCCATCTTGATGCCTCAGTTTCCAGTCAAAGGCAGAGCTGGTGGGGTATGCACAGCCCTTCCCCAGTGTCATATGGGAAAGAGAAAAACCCAGAAGTGGATGATGAGAAAAAACGGTGATCACATTATGTGCTCTGTCAGGCCTGCAATGTTTTCAAGATGGTTTGGTATCAAAACAGCTAGTGAGCCTCCAGGAGCAGGAGGGGGAGAGACTCGCTGCATTATCACCTCAAGCCCGGCCAATCAAGTCCCCAAAGCAAACGGGCAGCAGCACGTGTCCTCCAGCCTGGGTGCACTCAGAGGCGACTGAAGCGAATGCAACTTCCAGCAGCCCCTCCTGGGCTGTAAGAAATCACAGTCTTGGAGGAGCCAGCTGGCCAGGCTCAGTCATTCTTATGTTTTGTTGTCCTTTCTCCACCCACCCATCCCCCTAAAATGACACAATGGAATGACTGTGTTCCTTAATGAGGACCTTCCTTTTTAAAAATAAACACACAAAGCTTTCCCTAATCTGACCCATATTCCATAGTGGAAGAAGGTCGTGGGCCCGGAGTGGGGACACTGGGAAGGGAAGCAGACAGGGGAGCCGGGCGTGGGGCAAACACGCTCAGAGACGATGTGCCGGAGAGTGTGCAGGCAGAAAGCCAAAAAGAATGCTAAGCATCCATGGGTTGTGGCACTTCAGAGACATCATTCCATGGCACGAGGTTCCCAATCCTCTTCCTTAGTATCTCCTGGGGTAGTTCCTACAGGCTTTCTCTAGGTTGTTCAAGAACTCAGGCACTCCATTCTGCAAAGCAAAGGACACCGTCACTCCTCTGTCCTCACAGCAATCACTCTTGATTCTGGGGCATGTGGCAAAAGGTAAACAGAGATGGCTCTGGGAATAACAGACAGTAGGGCCTCTGACCGGATTCCAGCTGAACGTTGCCACAGATAATGGCGAAAGCTAAGACCCAGGGCGTCGGGGAGACTACCCGGCAGGGGCTATGGTTACAAGACACTGCCTTATATTTTGGCTTTTGCTAGTGAAAAGCTAAGACATTTCTGAGACACTGTTTCTTGAAAAGAAAAAGAAAACACAGGAGATTGGGTAGGTCTGGGTTGTTTGACTCTTCCAAGAAACAGGAGAAAAGTCCTGCTTTACAGAATTAGGAAATGGTAAGGACTCAGGGACAAGAGATAGGCTATACTATTATTTAGCTAGTGTTGAGCATTGAGCTAGAATCTCCCCAAACATCGTCTTATTTACTCCTATTCCATGGGGTAGGTAATATCCACCTCCGTATGTTTTTTTTTTGCTTGAGGAACATTAGCCCTGAGCTAACATCTGTACCCATCTTCCATACTTCGTATGTGGGATGCTGCCACAGCATGGCTGATGAGTAGAGTACTTCAGGGCCTGGGACCCGAACCTGCAAACCAAGGCCATCAAAGTGGAGCCATAAGCATTCGGCCACAGGGCCGGCCCCTCTACCTCCATTTTAAAAAGGGAAAAGATCAAAGGCTTCCCTAGGCTACACACAGTCAGTGGCAGGGCCAACATTCAAAATCACATTTGTTTGACTCAAAGTTTAGGAACTTTTCCTCTCCTGGGGAAGCTGTTGAGCCCTCCAGCCAGTAAGTAGGACACGTAAAAGCAGGCTGAATGGTCCCCATGAAGCCAGGCTCCCAGGCTGTCTCTAGTGATCTAGGCGGTTCCCTCTCCTTACAGAAAAACAAAACAACAATAACAAAACTGGAGGCTGCCCCAGGCTTGGCCACGTCTGGTGGTCTCTTGAGCCAGGTCGGCCTGTCTTACTCCCCCCAAAGCCGATACAGGATCCAGGGGTACCGTTGTTCCTACAAGGAGCAAGCTATTGTCCTGACGTTCCACTGAGTGACCCTGGCGGGCGCCAGCAGGCAGGGACTGGCATTCCAGCTAATGATTCTTTGTCTTTTGTCCCAGCCTCTGTCCTGGGAGTTGGCAACCCCAGTTCTAACCGTAGTCACTCAACCAAGCCACCTCATAAAAGAGCCTCATTAGGCCTGAGACAGCGAGTCTCTAGCCTGACAGCCCCACGGGCTGAGTCAACATTTGTCACACGCACGTCCCCTCCCGCCTCTGAGATCTCACCTTGAGAGCCCTCTTAAGGAGCCAGGTCGGAATCTGGACACGCAGGTTATCAAAGTAATACATGAAAACTAGAGGGGAAAAGAAAGGACAATTCAGAAGGAAGAAAAAAGAGAAGGACACAGCAATGAGCCCCGCGAAGCTTCCTCCTTCATATTCAGGCCCAGAAAGTAAGGACGGAGGGAACACGTGATTCAGGTGAGTCCTCTCCCCTGCCTTGTCCTATGGGATATTTCTATATAAACATTTTTGAAAACAGCCACAGGCACATCTTGCTGCGATTTATTAAACACCTGGCAAGTGCTAGACACTAGGAGATAGTCTCTCATTTCATTTTTTCTCTACTACTTATCCTAACAATCCTAAAGAATTGGTAAAATTCCAATTATAATCCCAGTTTATAAATGATAAAGTGGAGCCTCGGAAAAGCCAGGTGACATGTCCAAGGTGCTAGATCTACGAGCCTCAGAACTACGGTTCAGATGTCGCCTCAGACGCAAGGCCACATTCATTCCAGTGGAGCAGCTGGCTGCAGGCCGCTGTCTGCCCACAGCTTTTCTCCCTGTACTGGAACTCAAGGCAGGCAGGGCCTGAGCGTCTGGGTTTCTGCCAATTGGGAGCTGCAGCCACACAGACAGTCCTGCCGGCCCTCTTGCCCACCCCCAGGGCTGGCGTATGAGCCACAGGACCAGCCTGACGCGAATTTCCAAACCTCTGGTTTACTTGAATGCGCTGATTGCACCTGGACAACAAAGAGTCAGTGCAGAATGCACTGAGTCAGAGTTAGACACCCACCTCGCTCTGTAGCCCAGTGTCTGGGGGTGAAGTGAGTCTCTCCCCAGCTGTGGAGCCCGTCTGTTTTGCACCCATGCCCATTCTCTGACCTCAGGGGGCAAGCTGCGTGCACTGTACGTGCCTCGCAATCAGCACGGCCTTCACCTGCGTGACCCTGACCCTGACCCTCCACCCACATGGTCTGGTTTTTACCTTTGCTCCCATTCCTGCCATCACTTGTGATCGCCAATCTATGCTCGCACTGCGTCACCCGGACCACACCAGACCGCTCGGGAAACTGCGAATGGGAGATGCTCTGGGCCAGGACCACGAAGACCTTCCGCCCTTCCACATCCAGATCTCGCCGCTCCCGGACGTAGACATACTGTACCACTGGTCAAGGCATGACATCCACGCCAGCATTTCAGACAGGCAGAAGGAAAGCCCCACAAGCTGAAGACAAGGGAGGTGACTCAGTTCCTCCCACTTGGCTCTGGCTCCCTGGCGCTGTTACTTCACTTACCTGCCCTGTCTCCCCAAATGCACTGCAAGATTGTGCCTCATGCCACCCGGTATTCTCATCTGAGAGCACGCTTCACCTCCTGTGCAGGATTCTCTCATGCTTTCAAGCTTTTCATTAGGCAGGGAAACCACTCCCGTCTCCAGGAAGGCACTATGAGATCTCAGAGGATTGCTCACTAATCTGCTGTGAGATCCTGGCTTAGTTACTCAACCTTTCTGAGGCTGTTTCCCTATGTAGGAACAGGGAGCAACACTGCCCAGCAGGCAGCCTTGTGGGGGCATTAGGGAAACATTGGAGCAGAAGAAGCAGTTAATAAACAATGGAGTCATTTCTTCTCGTCCTGCCCTCCCCCAGAGCTCTAATTAGAGACCTCTATGCACAGAGGATGGTTGAGCAATCTTACTCACACCTGGTGATCACAGGAAATCTATGAGTACCTGAATATCTAGAGGCAGAAGTCCTCTCTGGGTTAACACTGGTTCACCAAGAATAACAAAGCCATTTCATCTCAACGAACACAGAACAACCATTATATCTATGGCACGATTCAAGGAAGATCATTAAATTCTAAGAAACAGTAAGAGTCGCCACTCACCGAGCCCTTTCTATGTCATAAGCATCATGTGCTTTAAGATAGCATCAGTCTTGATCCTGAGAAAGTCCCTGCTGAGTCTGGTGTAAGTATCTCCATCTTCCAGGTGACAAAATTGAGGCTCAGAGAGGTAAAGGGACTCACCAGAGATCCCACAGCCCAGCTGAAGTGATGGAACCTGAATTTGAACCCCGATCTGGCTCCAAAACCTAGCCAGGCTTTCATAACTGGACAGGGCTCAACTCTGTAATGTATTCATTATACTCTCAAATGGTAGAATTTTAGGTTTCCACACTAGAAGGAATGAAAAGCCCAAATCCATCAAAAAATCAGTCTAAGTATAAGACAATTACTCCCACTATAGCAGCCACAACGACAACCCCATCCCACCTCAGCGTCTCATCGGCACCCACAGTTGTCCCACCCTCCCTCAGGTACCCTGCAGGATGGCCATTGGTGCTGCTCTCTGCATACTGATGAGTGAAGTTCTTAAATGTCTTAGGGAAGAAACGATGTTGCTTTGGCCCTGGCTTTCCTCGCTCCCAAGCCTTTTACTTTTTCCTCACAGCAAATATTGTCCCACTCTCTCCCACAACTTGCTCAGCTCATGTGTCAGTGATCATGCGATGCTCCATTGAGGAAAATTTAACTTGATATGTCAACTAAAAGTTGGCAGTGTTCTTTGTGGTTGTAAGGTCAAGCATGCCATAAAGCCTATGACTGGAGAACCACCAGTTTACTGAGGCCCAGAGAAGTGAAGGCCAGAGAAGTGAAGAAGCCAAGGTCACACAGCAAACCAGGGAATGTGTTCACACTCACCCTGGGATCTTTTGCTCCAAAACTAATGGTTTTTTCCACGGATTATTCTCTGTCATCAAAAATTTATCAACCCTTATTGGAGAGACATATGTGCCTATACAAAGACCAAGAAACTCATTATGGGATTGCATGCCATTGGAGAGCCAATAAAATAGGACTTCAAGGAGCCCCAGGTGTCCACTCCTGGGAATACCTACCCAGCAGTGTCACTGTGAGGTCAGAGCAGTGGATTGTGCCCCGGTCAAGATCACCATCTCTGGGACAGCCAGACCTGCATCCCGAACCTGCCGCAGTCACCCACTAGCTGTATGAACCTGAGCATAGTTCTGAATGTCCCTTTGCCTCAGTTTCCTTAACTGTGAAATGATGCCTACTTTGCACAGTTGTTGGCAGGATTAGAGAAAATCACATAAAATCCAAGGGATTAAGTAATACATGATTTGTTGAAATACATACCATGTGTATACAAAATATTTAGTAGTATGTGGGAACTGTGCCAAGGAATAAACTCTTATGGAGTTTACAATCTAGATGGGGCCAGGGTACACACATATATTTAGACACAAAAACACAAAAACCATACACAGAAAACACACTCACACGCTCCCTCTCTTTCTAGAGAAAGATTACTGAGGAACATAGAGACTTGTGGAACGTTAGAGCTAGGGAAGATCCCCACAATCATTTACTTCAGTGGTTTCCGAACTTTCTTTAAGTCCACAGATCCTTTGTTCCATTCAGGATGTAAAATACTTAGCTGCTGCCATTGACGAGGACGCTGAAGGAGTCGAAAACTTGCCTATCAGTCATCCTACCCCCATCTGCCCACCCAGCAAATTCCCATCCCACCCTCCCAGGCTGGTCCTGAGCAGGCTTCCTGGAACCTTGGAGCGCCAGCAAAAACTCCCCACATCCCATTCAACTGCTTTGTCTCATAAATGAGGAAACTGAGGGGAAGAAACATACACCCAGAATCCAGAGCCAAGAGTCAAGGAGGGACCACTGTGGGGGTCAATGAAACAGGAAGTGAGATGGGGGAGCTGGAAATGTGGGGGCCTGAGTTCCCCTCTCAGTCACTAACCACCTGTAGGAACGCTTCTGTCACTTTACCTCTCTGGGTCCCCCCCTTTCTCCTCTATAGCTTGAAGGAGCATATTAAACATTCCTTATAAAAAGTTCTTTCCAGGTCCCCAATTCTGTGGCCCAACAACTTCAAGCCCTAGAAAACTTCTCAGGAAAGTAGGAGCTGCCCTCCAGTGACCACAATTGCAGGATGTTCCACGTTGTCAGGCCCAGAAAGCAGGCTCTGAGGTCTCTGAAAGCCACACACGATGCAACAGCTTCAGCAGATGCTTCTGCAGAATCAAAGACAATGTTGCCATGCCTGCTGGACATGCCATCATTGGGCGATGGGCCAAGGGCACAGAAACACTTAGAAAGGCGAGTAACTGTGAACTTGGGAAAGGATACATCTCTGTTGGGCTTGAGCATAGGGCACTTCACTTGCCAGTAGACTACGGTCTGTCCGTTGCATTCTCTTTCATAGAGTTCTAAGGAGAATAAAAGAAGGTAATGTATCTGGAAGCCTCTTTGGCTTCAGTTAAAAAGAAGCCTAGATATGATGACACCGTAGGATATAAAAAACCACTAAGTCACGAGGCACAAAATTCTAGAAGTCAGACAGATTAATTACCACTGAAAGCTTCTTGCCCGAAGGCAGAATCTAGAAAATATAAAAATATAGCAAAAATAAAAGAACCCAAATGTGTCCATTGTGTATCACAAAAAAGATTTTCAGAGAGAACGTAATGAAACAAAATCAGGCATCCAAAAACAAATTCTGGGGTTTTTAATCAAAGTAACCACCAGATGTCACTAGGGTACAAATAGTTTTGCTTTTGAGAACTTTCTTCCTTCTTTAGTTTTCCTGACGCATTACAGCTAGCCTGGGACCGAGTCACCCAGTCTAGTGTGTTCAGCTGGGAGATCAAGGTCCCAGAGAGGGCAGTGTCCTTCCTAAACAGCTAGAAAGTGGCATAACTGTGGCTAACCCTTGGAGGGGTTAGAAGCCAGCTCTTGGAGGGAGACAGCAAAGGAATTCAATGACATGCGCACCCTCTGACCCCAAGCTGTGCAGTAAGCTTCTAAGTACTTAGAGAAGGAGCCCTGCCAAGGCTGCTAAAGAAACCAAGAGAGTCCCTTGAGGAGATGTTGATGCGGGAAATGTATTACTTAATTCAGCTTTTGAAAGAAAATCCATCAGAAGCAGACCATGGATTAAAGAGCTGGCCAGCCCATTGGTGCCACATGAGGCTGAAGACAGCCCTTGAAAGGAAGGAAAGGAGGGGACATCTGTTGCTTTTGCATGCCTAATATTGACTCTCCCCTTCTGGACCAGCATCTTAATTTTCCTTCAGGACATCACCCATCCCATCCTTCTTGTGGTTTAAGCAAGACTGACTCGACCCGAATTGCAGAGCTGGGCAAACGAGCATGACATGCCCATGGTGATTAGCTCAGGGAGGGTACATCTGGCCAGGGTCTTAGCTTGCCACTCTAAAAAGTTGAAGCCAAAAAGTGGCTTAGTAAAGGCTCTCAGATAGCTCACAGAATATCTAGGAGGACCAGAGTTAAGCTTAGAACCTCAGGATTGTTCCAGAGAAGCCAAACTGCTGCTGCCACTGGACCAGACAGCACAGCGTGAACTGCTGATGCTGCGTACTGAACATCAGAGGCTCTGCCACTGTTTCCCCCAAGGTCAGATGCCTTCACTGTGACCGTCACCGGAAAATGGATTTTGCATGTTGCCCTCTTCCTCACGTTGCTTTCTCCCAAACTAAAGCCACTTGAGTGCCTTATTCTCAACGTCTATATCCCAAGACTGAACCATGGCTGCTAGGGAGCCTGGGACAGTGAACGTCTGGCTTCTCCCTTGCATGGATAAGCATCACAATTCTCCCAGATAGGAAAGATATTGGAAAACACTAAGTGACCCAAAACCATGACATACGTCCACAGGTAATGAGCACGTGATCCATGCTGAGGCGCTGAGAGCCAAAGCTGGGACTGTGGCTGCCACTAATATGAAAGTGGAATCCTCGTTCCTGTTCCTTTATGGCTAGAATATAAGCTTGGATCTTCTGGTGGCCACCTTTGCCATGACCTAAGAATCTGCCTGAAAATTAGGTCAACACAGGAGAAAACAGAGTCAAGATGGAGAAGTTATTTAGCTATTAGATGCAGCTGTCCTGGAAGCCAGAAACATGGAGTTTTCAATGTCATGAACAAATAAATTCTTTTTCCTCTTCTTACACTGGCATTTGTTAGCTTTTTGCGACTTGCAACCTAGAGTCCTGACTATAGCCAGGGTCTCCAGTTCACGTTCCCCTGGGCTGGCTCCATAGTTCTATTCCACTGTGATGGAGAGGGCAGAGGCCACTCCAGCTCTAAGTGGCAGAGGGATCCCCTATTTTATGCCTTTCATACCGCTCCATCACTTAGAGGGTGAAATCTAACTGTAGCCTGGTGGCCAGGCTGGGCCCTGGGATCTGGACACTCCTCCCACCCCAGCTCCAGAGTCTGCTACCCCACAAACCAGCAACAACCTGCTCACAGTGTTTGAACATATCATGCTGTTTCGTGCCTTCCTCACCTTACTCATGCTGTTTCCTGGGCCTCGAACGCCTTTATACCATTCATCCCCACCCCCTCTCCCCTCCTCACATAAATGTATTCCTGTTGGTTATAAAACTTTGTTTTATAAACTTTTCTTATAAACTTTTATGTTTTACAATAGATTAATAGTTTAAAGTATTACGTTTCATAAACTTTTATAAAACAAAGCTTGGACACCACCTCCTCCAAGAAGCCTTCCACGAGGAGCTGGGTGTATGTGACGATAAAAAACTTACAGTGAGAACAAATTATCCCTCAGAGCAAACTGGAGAGTAGCTCTAAGAGTATGCAAGGAGCAAGTCCTAGGAGGAGCAAAAGAACATGTCAGGCCAGCACTTAAGACTTTCTTGCCAAATGAAAAATGAAACATAATATAGTAGAAATTAAACCTGCTGCTTTCTACTGGGTGGAATAAGTAACAATAGACTCTACTTTCTAACTGATTTTTTTTTTGAGGGAGATTAGCCCTGAGATAACAACTGCTGCTAATCCTCCTCCTTTTTTTTTTTGCTGAGGAAGACTGGCCATGAGCTAACATCTGTGTCCATCTTCCCCTATTTTATATGCGGGACGCCTGCCACAGCATGGCTTGACAAACAGTGCCATGTCCGCATCCTGGATCAGAACAGGCAAACACCAGGCCACCAAAGTGGAACATGCAAACTTAACTGCTGTGCGACTGGGCTTGCCCCTCTAATTGATTTTTTGAAAATAGTAGGAGTGACTCACCCTCAACATGTTGGTCCCACTGTTTTCTGTAGTCTAGGTCCATATAGACATCTGTCAGTAAAGCCGGTGGGCAATTCTTCAGAGTTCCAAAGACTTTATACTTATAAACTCTAGTGTCCTGTAAAATCAGAACAGGTAGAAACAATCTATTGATTCCCAAGTTGAGAGACAGCTGGATTACACGCATACGAAAACAGCTGCTCATGCAACACCATTTATTGAGCACCTCCTCTATGGTCTTGGTAACACAATGGTGAAAAAACAGATGAGTCCCCAGCTCTCCTGGGCTTTACATTTGACTGTAGGAATTGATGGTGGTGACAGCTATAAACACTATCCAGGTAAGCTGAATAGGATATAAGAAGGGTTGTGTCATAAATGCTGCCTGCTTTGGGGCAGGGGGCAGAGGGGTGACATCCTACATAATCAGGTGGTCAGGAAAGGCCTCTATGAGGGATAACATTTATCAGAACATGTTGTTCTAAATATTAGAAGGAGCCAGCCATGGGAAGATAGCAAAGCCCCTTCCTGCGGGGGGAAGGCCCTCAGGTTGGTGGATTAGAATGCTCAAAGAATAGAAAGTCAGGGGTCTGGAGACTGTGGATGAGGGAGAGTGGTAGGAGCTGAGGTCAGAGAGGCAGGGGAGGCCGGGCCCCAAAGGGCTTTGCAAACCAGGGTAAGGGGTAAAGATTTTGTCCTAACTGCTATGGAAAACTAATACATGACTTTAAACGGGATGACTTTAAATAGGAGAATGATTTTAAAAGGATGATTCTTCTGAAAATAGATCATAATGGAGCAAGGAGATGGTTTAGAAGACCAGTCCAGATAAGACATGATGGTGACTCAAGAAGGGAGGTAACGATAGTGATGGAGAGAAGTCAGTGACTTAGGGACATACCTTGGAAGTAAAGCCAACAGGAAGTGCTGACAGATTGGCTGTGGGGAAAGAGAAAGCAAAGGAATGAGGATAACAGTTAAAACCTTTGCTTAACAACCAGGTAGATGAGAGCTCCATTTTCTAAGAGAGAGAAAACCTGGGGAGAGGAGATTTGTGGGGTGTGGAGTAATCAAGAGTTCTACTTTGGACAAGTGGAGTTTGAGATGCTTACTGAACACTGAAGTGGGGGTGTCATATAGGCAACTAGCATTCAGGGGATGGGTAACTATTTTAGTTATCCACAGGGCATAATGAAACCCAACACATTGTTGTGTCAATTCCAAGACAGAATTCTTCAATAACTGCTTCTTTGTGATAAAAAGGACTCGTGTATAAAGGAATGAAAAGGGGGAAAGAACACCAGCTTCAAATCATATGAGTCCATTTTATGCATAAGAAGACCATTTCTAGATTCCAAAATACAACAAGAGAATTCCCTCCTTTTCATGTTAAGCCCCATCCCTGTCTGTGAGGGCTCTAGGCTAGAATTGGCTACACTACACATCTCACTCTCTGTTCAAAGGCAAATAACTATTCCTGAACTTCACCTTGCCCAAAGGCTTTATTATTAGGATGAAACCAATGGCTCTTAGATTAGTTTCAATGCAAAGGCAAACAAACAAAAATGAAGCTTTTAGAAGGACTCATTCTTCCACGTGCTAATGCAATGTAATTGGCTAATCGAACATGAATCGAGCCATCTTCTTAAACACCATGCCAGGGACTTATGTGAAGTCAAGGAGTAAACATGGTGAATCTTTCTAGAGATTCTCAGACTTCAAGGTCTCCTGGCTCAGGTGGCATAACCCAAGGATAAATATATCCCAGGTTAGGAATTTCAGATGTATGTGAAAGTACCTGGCAAACAATGGAAGGTAAAGTTGAAACTGAATTCATAAGGATTTTCCAGCTGTACAAGTATGTGACTTTATGCTAAGGGTGTCCAACCATCAAATGACAAATTGATAAATCATAAGAACTGATAAAAGTCCATTTATGGGACATTTCATTTCGTACACTTCAGATAGTAAAAGTATTGTTTGATTGTAGAGAGTCAGTCCGTATCTTGTGTAGAATACAATTACCAGAAGAAACAGAAGATTTGGTATAGCACATGTTCCATTCTTTCTTGCTAAGAGAAGCCCTATGCAATGTGCACGGTTAGTAACTTTCCTGGTCTCCTATGCAGGTAGAGGGAGCCATATAACACCTCCTTCCAGTTTTGAACATGGATGTTTGGAGTTGCAGCAGCTACTTTGTGCTGAAGAGGTAACAAACATGGGAAGGCAGAAAAAAAAAATACTCAAAGAGTTTCACTGGCATCATCGAGCAGCAAAACCAATGCCAGCAACTGTTGATCTCTGAACTACTTGTTAGGTGAGAGAAATAAATCCCTGGTTGTTTAAGTCACTGTCAGTCCAGTTTTCTGTTATTGCAGCTAAAAGCATTCCTAATTGATACTAGTCACGCTTCCTGACAATGTTACTTGAGTCCTGTGATCCAGGGGAACAGAGAAGGTCTGTTATTCCAGTTGACTTGTCTAAACATCAAGCTGTCATATTTTTTATCAATAGTGATTCAAATGTAGTTTAAAAATTGTGCACTGTCTTTGCAATTGCATTCATGGGGTTAAAAGATTTTGAGAAACTTTACTGCCAATAGTGCACTTATTTGTCCTAAGGAGAATAAATTCTGCAAGAGCTAACATGTTTACGTATGAGAAATGTCAAAATGTGATAATGTTTGCATTCGACATTTGTAGTTCCCACAGAGCAGTAATCCCTGGCAGGACCCCCATTCCTCCTACCCACCCCACCTGACTGGAGGAAGGCATCCTCATTCTCTTCGATGTATGGTGTTTTTCTGCATTTACGTCACCAACCACAAGACAGCCTTGATGAATCCCATTTCTCTAATCCTGTAAACGCACCCTTGAGTGTGTTGAATTTTCTTTGCCTCTCACTGAAGAGTTCATTTCCATTCCTCAGGGGACAGTAGCCTCCGTAATCTACAACTGTGGAAGCTGTCCAACTACAGCCTATCTGGGGCAAGTAACAGACTCAGATTGTCTGAAAAGTGAGCATTTTTCACCAAAGAGAGTCACTTCTAACGGCAGGAGTCCAAGCTGCACTGCCACTGGGAAGTGTGTATCAAGAAGGTGAAGAACAACGGTGACTAAATCTGCTTTACTATTTTGGATCTCTCTATGAAAACATGGTAGGTCTGATCCCTTAGGATTGCAGACGGCTAGGTAAAATAATAAGGATAGCTAATACTTATTGAGTGCTTAATGAATACCAGGCACTGGGCTAATACTGTACATGTGTTATTCCACCTAATACACACAATGATAATACGAGGTCTGCACCATCAGTAAACCCATTCTTCAGACGAGGAAACTGAGGTTTGAAGACGTTCTGAGAAATATCTGGAAAAGGCGGATCTACAGAGACAGGAAGCAGATCAGTTGTTGTCTGAGAACAGGGAGTGACTGTGAACAGGCAAGAGGTGTCTTTTGGGGGTAACACAAATGTCCTAAAATTAGATTGTGGAGAAGGTTGCATACCTCCATAAATTTACTAAAAATCATTGAATTCTACACTTAAAATCAGTGTATTTTATGGTGTATAAACGATACCTCAATAAAACTGTTAAAATAAGAAAAGAGGTTATGAAACTCACCCCAAGTCACACAACTAATGATGGCAGAACCTGGACTTGAAGCAGTGATCTGACAATCGAATTCACAGTCTAGGGTACTGCCTCCAAATTGCCACTGACCTCTCCAAACATCTAGTTAGACAAGTCATAAACTGTCTGGAGTGCATATGGCTCTAGCTAGAGTGACCATATAACTTATCATTCCAACTGGCACACTTCTGAGAGGGAAAAAGGTGTTGGGAAAATTTTCACCTGGACAACAGATATAAACCAGGCCTGTGATGGGTATATGGGATATCTATACCCAGCTACAGCTCACAACCAAACACCATTTAATTTGCCAGGTGCTTCAAAATGTATCCTCTCATTGGATCCCTGTACCAATTTGGCAGAAGAGGAATTATCTCTGGTTTAGAGACGAGGAAACTGAGTCTCAGCTAGGGTCTTAGGCTCATAAATCCTAAAATGACAAAGCAATTAAGCAACAAAAGTATATTTTAGACCAGGGCTTGCCAAATCAGTCATGCCAGCTATTTTTGAACAGTCCATAAGCTAAGAAGAGTCTTTACATTTTTAAACAGTTAGATAAGTACCTACATAATATCCTCCATTTTGCCTCTTGGCCTGCAAAGCCTAACATATTTACAGTTTGGCCTTTTATGGAAAGAGTATGATGAACCCTGCTTGAGACCATTGCAACCACTACTTCCAAAACATACAACCCAGGAAACCTGAATTATTATAGAGTCATATTGCCATGACACATAGAAGAGAAGGATCTTTGTGTCATAAGCCACCAATATAATTATACATTAATTTGAATCACATGGGGGTTTACCATTTAAGCTCAGACCACTCTTCAAAGCAAACCTGCCAACCTTGAGCACACCATACAGGATGAATACCAAAACATTTTAAACATATCACACTCAAACTCGGAAAAACAAAGAAAAAGAGAAAATCTTGAAAGAAACTGTGGGGGAAGAGGGGACCACTTTAACTTACAGAGGAACAAGGATGAGAATTACAGCAGACATCTTGTCAGAAACAATTCATGCAAAATGGAAGTGGAGTAAAACGCATAATATATTGAAAGAAAGAAGCCACTGACCTAGAATTCTATATCCAATAAAACTGTCCATCAAAAGCGAAGGAGAAATAAAAAATTTTTCAGACAAATAAAAACTGAAAGAATTCAGCAGCAGCAGACTTACTCCAGAAGAAATGTTAAAAGAAGATTTTCAAGGAGAAAAAAGTCATATAGGTCTGAAACTCAGATTTACATAACATAAAAAGTGCCTGTTTCATTGCCTTAGAGCTTCTTGAAAGTATGAACTTTGTCTTATTCATCAGGTATCCCCAGGGCTTAGCATAATGCAAGGCAAACAACAGGTCCTGAAAGACCACGTGAATGAAAACATGAGCAAATGTTTTGGAGTGTTCCTTTCACTAGGGTACATTCAGAGAACCCAAAGATAGTTATGGAAAGGTGTCTATCCTAAATTAAATGGCAAGTT